ACCATATTTTAATCAATTAATTTTATAATATATATATATATATATATATATATATATATATATATATATATATATATATATATAATGAAATGGAATAAGTCATACAAATCATGGGAAGTTAGTAGTTTAAAAACAGTAATTTAACCTTGCTAACAAGATGCTTCCTCTGTAGCTAAATAGCACGTCAGGCTATATGGCCGTTCCGTATAGGATACAGGTTCGATTCCTGTCGGAGGACACATATCTTATTCGGGATTTCTCGAACATACAGGCCGGTAAATGTTGTTAATACCGTTTATTATAAAGAGAGCATTTACTTAAACATTTGTATCTATAAAAATAACGTATAAACAATACATATGTAGTGATTTTCCAAGCGTAGCTTAGATGTGGCAGAAGCTCGAAAGTTGGAGGCACCCAGTGAGGATCTAATCAGTCGTAATTGTTCTATCGAGACAAGCCATAACCATCACATCGCCTCAAGTGCCATATATATATATATATATATATATATATATATATATATATATATATATATATATATATATAAAAAGTAAACAGAGAAGTCAGAGGCGACAGTCTGTTTCATGCTATATGCAATCGTCAGGCCACAAACAATACATATGTAGCGATTTTCCAATATTTACGCTCTATCTCTGATGTAAAGATCCAGGAAAACCTACCTAGGTTTCACCTAAACGGATCTTTCAGGACAAGCTACATTTTAGGCTTACTACTCGCTTTTTATTATTATCATTATTTACTCTGGACTAAAGACTTAAGGCACTGGTGTTCCCAGCTCGTCAGAGCCCGTGCCTGGTGAACTGGAAACACCACCCAGCGAATCTATAGCGGCACGCCAAAACGTAGGTACGCGTAAATGTACTAACTATATTAATATATATATATATATATATATATATATATATATATATATATATATATATATATATATATATATATATATATATGCAAGGTAGGCACTTTGATATATTGTAATGGTTTGTCTCACTAAAACAGTTACGACTGAATAGTGAGTTCGATTCATCCTCACTAGATGTCCCATACTTTTGGCCTTGTGCCACATCTAAGTTGCTCTTAGAAAATCAATTTATATATGCAGGGTGATTGGAAAGTATCTCCCTATTTTATGGACGATGGATTCTCCCGACATGTAAAAATTATAGTTAGACAGTAGAGTCCATCATATATTAAATAAGGAGTTATTTTTCAATCATCTTGTATATGTATATATATATATATATATATATATATATATAGATAGATAGAATAGATAGATAGATAGATATGCAAGCTGAGTGAAAAGTAACTCCTTATTTTATGTACGATGGACTTTCACGTCTAGTTAAAATTATAGTTAGACAGTAGAGTCCATCATATATTAAATAACCTGTAAGTCTATATATATATATATATATATATATATATATATATATATATATATATATATATATACGCACACACGGTAGTGAAAATTAACTCCTATTTTATGTATCGTGGACTCTGTATTGTAAAAATTATAGTTGTAATGAGAGAGTCCATCATACTTAAAATAGGGTGTTGCTTTTAACTCACCGTGTGTGTCTGTCTGTCTAAATCTGTCTCTCTCTCTCTCTCTCTCTCTCTCTATATATATATATATATATATATATATATATATATATATATATATATATTAATGTGCATTTGGGCAACAACCTTCCTTTCAAGCATCTTTCATTGAAAACGGTCGACAAGGAAGATTTAATTAATCTTTTATTGAGTTTTTTCCAGAATTCTAACATTTTCCCGTTTTTTCAGGCGTCAAAGAATATAGAAATCGTCCCTAGTTACAATTGTTCCGAGTGCTTTCTTTATTCTTACTAAAAAATACCCGACCCCAATGACAAAAGTACAAGACATCAAAATATCAACATATTTTATCGCAACCAGATGCACAACAATAATAAGCAGGATGAATTTACTATAAGGAAATTTTATTAAACGCCATATTTATGCCGTAACCGCTGGAGAATATAAAGTTCATATTCTCGAAAATGGATGAGCTAAAACCTTGTCGCCACCAACCGAAATAACTCCCCCAAATCTTAATTAGCGCTGACAAATATGCTGTACCAATTTCAATGTCCAGTACAACTTACCTGTCAAAAATCAATTACCTATAACGGACACACTACTACCTACTTAAGTAGACGTCTTACATGCCACCTCTTGAAGTAGAGTTTAATAAACATTTATTAACTCATAATTTAGAAGATCCTTTAAGGAAAATTCTAGTCGACAGCAGAAAGATTCATTTCAAATAACATAGTCGTACACAACTTATCATTCATTCAGTTATGTACCATGCGTGATACACGCTTAGGCGATCATCTATCTATCGATACATTACTGACGAGGCAGATTTTTCCGCAGTAGGTTGCCATTTCGTTATGCGGTCGACCAGTTGTAATCCAAGGCTATAGAACCCGGTTTGTCCTGCTATTTACCCATAGCTGGGGAGAGGAAGAGTAATCATACCTTTCTCAAGGGTAATAGCACTTAAGTGAATGTAATGGATTCGACTGAAATTCGAACTCGGCTCTCCCGTTCCTCAATTCGAGCCTCTATCCATTACTCCACCGTGCAGGGAAGCATGAATACCTATCTTACACTATTTAACAGTGGAAACGGCGTTTTAACGGGTTTGAAAAAATAAAAGTGATGCCCACGTACTTGACCGCCCAAAAAATATACACCTCCTACAAGCCTGCACATAGTCCACTCTGCTAAGCTAATATGCACAAGTCAACACACAAAATTCCGCATGCAAAAATATCCTAGGTAATGCCTATTGAACTCTCCGAAATCGCCCGAAACAATTATATCTACGGACAATTTCTATATTCCTAAAACCAAAAAAACGTAAAAATATTAGAATACAGTAAAACTCAATAAAAGATATAATATATATATATATATATATATATATATATATATATATATATATATATATATATAGGTGTCCATAAAAGTTCGTGTGCACTTTAAAAATTTGTAACTTTATTTGTATTTGCGATAGAAATAGTTTGTAAAAAGGATTAGAAAGAAGTAAATCTATATTTTTTAAAGGTTTTATTGAAATTTTATTTAAGTTTCCACATGTCCTCCATCATTAGCAATACAAAGGGTAAAAGGATTTTGGAGTTCACGGAAAATATTTGCCAACTGATTTACAGGAATGACTGAAATCACGTTAGTTATTTTAGCTATGCTTAAAACTAAGTACATTAAACTTTTGTAACATTTTTTACCTGAATTTGAATTATTTCTCTGTGACCAGTCTCCCAAAATAAGCTGATTAAAATAAAAATTGAACATTTTTTAAAAGCCTCTCCTGGGCCACACTGGGTATTTTTGTGAATTTTCGCGTTAGTATTTTGTGCAGACCTGTCCTAATAGGGATATCATGGCTGGGTATAGAGGGTGGGGGGCTTTTTGGAGTTATACCGGTGGCTACTATATACCATAATTGGACTGGGTGTCATGATCAGTATAATGGCCTTATACATTTTTTACTCCAAAGTCACGTCCATATACGCACAGAATTTTGACAAAAGACATTGCAAGATCTCAGTCTTGAAAACGCTACCCTGGGTTGAGCAAAAACTGATTTTTTTTTTAACTTAAAAAAAAACAAACACATTATAAAAGTCATATAATTATAAGTTTTTATTATTAACATTTCATTAAGGAAATTATTTGGTATAAAAAATGGAATTATTTTTGAAAGTTTTTAAAATTTGTAGGAATATTTTTAGGGACGTCATTGAATTAAAATATACATGCGCCTGATCCAACGTACACGCACACACAATTTGAATGAAACTTGAATTAAATTGAAATCTTTCTCGTATGAGCGAATTTCGCTATCTGAAAACAACCCCTGTCTAAAAGGAAAAGATTATAAGCCTGATATGCAAAATCATTTGAAGTCATTATTATGACTTCTGCATTTAAACTGAATATATATGTATATACATTATGAAATAGACAAAGTCTGGCAATTATTTTTTAAAACATTTTTTCATGTTTATACGTTCTTTTTATAAATAAAAATATTTAAGTAAATACTCTGTTTATAATAAATAGTATTAACGACGTGAATGTCCGAGAAATTTTCATAGAAAATATATGTTCTCCGACAGGAATCGAACCTGTATCCTACACGCAACCTTTATATAGCCTGAATTGCCTTAACCGATTGGGCCACAGAGAAGCGTGCTGTTGGAATGGTCGATGTTATCGGACTTTGTCTATTACATAATGTATGATGTCATTTGTTTACATTTGGATACGCATTGAGCAGATATGAATGAATGAGAGAAAATCATGGAGAATTGTGTTTAAAAACAGTAAACAATTGCTAACCGAATGTTCCTCTGTATATATATATATATATATATATATATATATATATATATATTATATATATATATATATATATATATATATATATATATGTGTGTGTGTGTGTGTGTGTGTGTGTGTGTGTGTGTGTGTGTGTATTTAAGCAGCAAATTCTTTTTTGTCATAGTCCTTTTATATTCAGGAATATTTTTCAGTATATTACAATTAATTGTAATATCGGCGAAAATATTCGTGAATATGACAGGATTATGATAAAAATAACCAGACATACATAACGTTTGTAATTTATTTAATATATACATATATATATATATAGTGTTATTATGTTGACGTCAACTTCTGCAAATTGATCAGTTTGTTCATCTCTCAAATTATCCAGAGTTTCTCTTATCTTGATTAACATATCACACATCTCTTAAAATTAGAAAAGGTCGAATACCAGCTGTTCATTCGCCTATTACATTCTCTGTCAGTGAGCCTAGAAAACCAGCCACAAGATATTTTGCCAAGATACCAGTTGATAAAGCAGGGACGTCGTTTCATTCTTTTAATAAAGCAATAGCGCTAAATCACCACAGACATCCCCAATTTGAACTGGGTTCGCCTATTCTGCTTTTCCCGGCTGGAAACAGCTTTACTAACCCGCACCTTCGTAGACAGATAGATGGTGGGCCTCTAGCGGTCCGCCAGTGGTAACATTGCCGAGACGAAGAGGCCGGCTGCCCGATAGCGGACCAACAGCGGCAGACTGGTGGCTTCGGTGTAGGATTGCGGAAACAGAAATGTTCTACAGATGGATGCTGAGAATACCATGGACTGAACGTATGTGTAATGAAATTGTTTTAAGGAAAAAGCAGTAAGAAAAACAAAAACAAAAAAAAACAATCGAAATTTCTAGAACAAATCATGAGGATGGAGGTTTTTTGAGAATTTGATACTTACGGGAGATATTGAAGGCAATTTCGACAGCGGGAAGTTGTAAGTAATCTACCTAACGAGCTTATATAGCATGACCAGAGGGATGTCGAAAATACAAGCGTCATTAATAGCTACAAAAGTTATGGAAAGCCATTATCGCTCATGGCCCATAGAAAAAGAAGAATACAGCCACAATCTTCTTCACAGTCATATTCTTCTTCTTCTTCGCTATCGATCATGGCTCTCCACAATTTCCTGCCCTTTGTAGCTCTTAATATTTTTTTCGTTTATTATCTTTAGGAGAGTGACCCATTGCCTAAGCTTACTAGGCAGGTTTTGTGTTATTTTCCTCTATACATTTATTTTATCCTGTGAGATTAAACTTTCCAATTTCTCTTTTCTCAGAACGCTACTTATAAATTTCAACTGTTTCCCTTTTGTTTCTATAAAACCGTATTTCTGTTGCTTCAAGTCTCTTCTTGTCCAGCATTTCACTCTCATGTCGGAGGATTGATATTATATAACAGTTCAGCATTCTTGTTCTTCGTTTTTATCGACATTTTCTTGTTTCTTAATACTTTGCTTAGCTTTTGTAAGGCATCTTTCTCTGTCTCAGTGCGTCTTCAGATTTCAGTGTCATAATTTCCGTCCTCTGTTAAAACACTGCCAAGATATTTAAATTGATATACTTGATTGATTTTGGTATGCGATCTTTAGATAAACTGGATTATTTTTTAAAACTGGAACTATTTATGCTTGGTTGCGTTTGATTACGTTTGGTGTTAGGAGGGTGAATTCACCTCTGTGTCCGTTTCGGATGACACACTCTCACAGACATAGACACACACACATACGGATGTACGCATCTTTGTTCACACAAACACACCCATATAAACAATATACGAGGTTAACCGCAGAAAGTGTGAAACCCTGGGTTACAAGCTCATATCCATACAACTGATATATATATATATATATATATATATATATATATATTCATACATGTTTCATTAAATAATATAGACAAGTGTTGTATATTTATTTTATGTAAATTCTTTTCATATCGTCTGATAAGCTTAATAACATTATCATTAAACGAAGAAAGAAAATAACAATATTGATACATATTTTTTAATCCTATCTAAGCTTTCGGCTTACATAAGCGATTATCAAAGATGACAATTACAGTACAATATATTAAGCAATACATAGACAAGAATGTGATGATAGTCTGTTTCTGTTTACATGGATGATTTCAAGCAACGATAAACACGTGCATATATATATATATATATATATATATATATATATATATATATATATATATATATATATATATATATATATTTATATATATATAAACATTTTTATCAGACATTATTTTTATTGCTATAAATATTGTTTTACTACGTAGACATGTTTAATTTCTCTGTTTATTTTTAATCATTATCTTATTAAACAATGAAATTAATACACACACACACACACACACACACACACACACACACACACACACACACATATATATATATATATTAAAGAAAGAAAAAAGAAAGAAAGAAAGAAAGATAACAAGAAGTAACAAAGAGAAAAAGAAATGAAAAGGTTAGAAAGAAAGAAAGAAAGAAAGAAAGAAAGAAAGAAAGAAAGAACTGGAAGTAAGAAAGGAAGAAGAAAGCAAAAGGTTAGAAAGAAAGAAAGAAATAAAGAAAGAAAAAGAAAGAAAGAAAGAAAGAATAAAAAAGAAAAGAAAAGGAAAGAAATAAAAAGGAAGTAACGAATAACGACAAAAGAAAGAAGAAGAGTAAGAAAATAGAAAGAAGTAATTAATGAAAAAGAAAGAAAGAAAGAAAGAAAGAAAGAAAGAAGGGAAAAGTGGGCAGGAAAACGTAGAAAGACAACATAACCATAGTATGAAAATAGAAAGAAAAAAAAAATTAAGAAAGAAAAAAAGAAAGAAAGGAAAAGAAAAATAAAGAAAGAAACAAAAAGAAAGAAAGGAAGAAAGAAAAAGAAAGAAAGAAATTGAGAAAAAGGAAGAACCAAACGATAATATTTATGCATATTTTATTTTTACCTGTTATAATCACACAAACCTAAGCGATTACAAAGTTTGACTTAGTGTCAATAAATGAACAAGGAAATATTAGTCTCTTCATAGAATCAATCTATTGAGTAAATACGGATTTACACTAGCGAAAGAAAAAAACGATATTATTTCACAGAAATCTTATATTAATATTGTATATTAGATCATCTAATTTATGAAGTCTGTTCGACTTTCTTTTCAACGTGACACTTGTATTAAGAAATATAGGTCACCATTTCTTATACAGAGGAGGTCACCAATGATAGAAAAGATATAACTTCTGCTATTAACTGACAACTATAAAATGTACCTCCTATATTAAATTTATTACACAATGCAACATAAATAAACGTTGCAGGTATATAGAAAAGCAATTATCTGTAGATATTATTATTCTAGAAGGCCTAGTTTAGCTTTTAAAGATGGTGTTCTCTTCAATACAGTAAACCGAAACATATAAGACTTGTAGAACATATGCAAGGTAAAACGAATCCGAAATTTTTAATAAGCACACATTTCCAGTCTCTCTGCCTAAGACCTATTTGGTCGTTGTGTATCATATAAATAGATAAAACAACACCCTCTCTCTCTCTCTCTCTCTCTCTCTATCTATCTATCTATCTATCTATCTATCTATATATATATATATATATATATATATATATATATGTAAGCAAATATATGGATATAGATCCGACAGTATGAAGAAAAATATACGGAAAAAAACAAACAAAAATCCTTATATACAATTATGCTGTTTTAATGTTAATATGTCAACGTCGGACGTTTCGGTCTAATAAACCATCTTCAGGACATATTCATAAAATATAATTAACATTATCAACTCAACATGACAAAGTCGATGGACATAAGAACAAGACTATCTCTTGATAATATATATATATATATATATATATATATATATATATATATATATATATATATATATATATATATATATATATATATATATATATATATATATATATATTCGTTTGGGAACCTTGTGGCATGCATTCGGTGCACCAGGTTTCTGTATTCGTCCCTCAAAAAGTGTGGCTGGTCCTGCACAAGGCCTTCACCACTATAATCAAATCTCATGTGCCGGTGTCGGGATGTCGGTTTCAGGGGACTTATCGGCCTGACCCTCATACGTCGAACGCGACAGGAGAGTCGATTTATATATATATATATATGTGTGTGTGTGTGTGTGTGTGTGAGATGCATATATATATATATATATATATATATATATATATATATATATGAGAGTTAAAGATCAAATACAGATCAAACATGGATCAGTATCCGACAGGATGATAAAATAAAAGAACAAGCAGTAAAAGTATATTAATCTAACATGTTTCACTTTCGTTAAAACTTCGTCAGGGACAGAAAGAAAAGAGACAAAATGTCAAAAACACTAGTATTTTTAGCTCTGTTTCAGTCAGTTCTCATTTGCCAGACACGTGGACACCTTGGATACTTCTATGTAGATTTGTGAAGATTCTTGTATGTCTAAGTGGGCATCCGATAATAATATCCATAAAAAGAATACCCGCTCGGCCCGGTGGCTAGGATCAAAGTGTAGTATCTGTGCTTTGTGAGCTGCCGGGTCGGGTGTCTGTCGAACTCTCTGCTTGCAGAGAGGAACCCTGACGAAGCTCCGCCGAAGGGTAGGGTTTCGTTGGGGAAGGTTGACGGAACTGACCCGCCTCGGCGGGTTTGGATGGTTATTTATTTTTGGCTGGGCCTACGGGCTCGGACATACCCACATTAAAAAGGCCTTGTGCCACATTCGATCCCCGTGGGTGGATTGATAAATACTATCCGATAGTAATGTATATTTGTAATTGTGTGCGTATGTCTGTCCAGCGGGATTCTTTTTTTTATTTTCACCTTCGTGCGGAACACAAGATTTTAATTTATGGCTCGCCTCTTTAGGAATCTATCCTTTGTATTATGTATAAGTTAAATTCTTTCAGAATCGATATCAAAGAAAGATGGCGACGTAATATAATGTTTTAGGCATGAGTTGGTAATAAGAATGTTCACTAACCTATATACACATAGAATTATCCATGGTTTCAATACAGGTGACATATGTCTGACCAATGAGACTGTCCCAAACATAATCGAAAATAACAATGTTTTTTTGTCTTTTTTGTGTGTTTTTTTGTCAACCTCTGACAAATCATTAATGAAAGTGAAACATGTTAGATTGATATACGTTTCCTATTTGTTATTTTATTACATATATATGTGTGTTAGTGTGTGTGTGTTAAATATACATGGCGTCCATAAAGTTCGTGTGCACTTTTAATGATTTATAACTTAAAAGTACACACGAATTTTATGGACACCCTCTCTCTCTCTCTATATATATATATATATATATATATATATATAGGAGGCACGGTGGAGTAATGGATAACGATTCGGAGAACTGAGTTCGAATTCCACTCGGATTCATTACATTCACTTACGTGCTAATACCCTTTGGAAAGGCATGAATCCTCTTCTTCTGTGCGGTGTAGGAGAAGGTAGGGCTTCGTCAGGCTATCTTGCCCCAAAACACAACTTCTACAGTGGCTGCACTACACATCGTGCCACTACGACCCTACGGGCCACATGATAATATATATATATATATATATATATATATATATATATGTGTGTGTGTGTGTGTGTGTGTGTGTGTGTGTGTGTGTGTGTGTGCACGCAGATATGTAGAAAAATAGGAAAGAACACGTTAGGTAAATAATCCGGAGTTCTTTATTATTTTTGTTTTATTTTTAAAAACAGTGTTCAATACAAAAGTAAAGCTTAGATTATAATTATTAAAAAAAACAAACTATGATTCCTTCGCTACATAAGAGTTCTCATGTTTCAAAAACGAGAGCCGAAAACCTCAATATAATTATTAAAATTAAATTGAGTTAAAGTATCAAGCCCTGTTTCATCCTCAAGCGAAGATTTAGGAATAACCAATCTTGAAATTTACGCATCTTTATAAGCATGTTCATTCACAAATTAATTACTATGGAAACGGCTGGGGCGACCATTTTGGTAAGGGGTCTAAGAGGTAATTTTTATCCACATATCAGTCACCTTCGGAAAAAGGTAAAGCTGAGGAAGGGTGGGGGAATCTATTTCAAAGAGAATGATGGCATTCATGTGTGCACATCGTCTGGTCAGTCACAGCGAAAGATTACTTTTGGCACCATAATATGTCGTTAAGAGAATTTTATTTTATTTTATTTATTTATTTATCCTTTTATTTATTTATCCTATTTTTCCTAAAGGGCTGTTTCGTACTTAAACGCGTCGCACTAAAGTGGGATAAAAAAAAACCTTTTTGACACATAGTTTTTTTGAGCATTTTTCTTTTGTTTACTTGGTTCCAAGTTAAACTAAATTTTAAAAAATCTTTACGTGTTATAAGTTTTCTAAAAAAAAAAACAACAACAAAATTTATTATAAGCCCATAAAATCCTGCATTAATTATAGATTTCGACCTATATCCCATTAAATTCCAACGTCCCTAAAATTTTAAAGTTTTAGCGTCTTTGTCGGATCTCACAAACATTTAGAGTTTAAATATGGCCAATCAAAAGGACAGAGTAAAAAAAAATAAGAGAAACAATGAAGAAGTGAAACAAGAGAAAATAGAATGAAACAAATGGTGAGCTGAATTGACCAATCAAATCACGAGAGACAAGATGAAATAGGAAAAATATAAAGCGAGATACATCGAATAAAATATAAGGAGAGCACAAAAACAAAAAAAACAAAAACAAAAAAACCAAAAAAAACCCCCAAAACAGCCTAAATAAAGAGCGATTCAAGGGTCGTGAAACCAGACAAAACAAAGCGATCAACACCAGACATAACAAAGAGAAATACAAAGGTTGTCAGACAAGTCATAACAAAGGGAAATAAAACCAAACAAAACAAAGAAAAATTCAATGGTTGCGAAACAAGACAAAACAGAGCGACATAACTAAGCAACAAAAATAACGACATAACTAAGCCAAAAAAATAAAAATAAAAGAATATAAAAGTATCCTTAATATTTCAGTATACGCCTGATATTTTCGTATAAACCATTTATTGTTTATTTTTTTTATTCATTCGCCTTAATTCTCGTCATTTTTTGTCGATTCACATGTTTTATTATTAGCCTCAACGAAGAGTAATTAAAAAAAAAATGGAGTCGCCCTTAAACTCGCTTTCAATCAGTGACGGAAATGACACGCACCCAGCAGAATTATTAGCGTGTAGCCCTGTAAAGCTCATGAAAATCGTGTAAAATTTTGTTTAAAACGTTGGCACATTTATGGGGCGTGGCTGCCAGACAGGGCAGTCGCAAAAAAGTATGTCATGCTCACTCGACCGGATAGACAATAAACCGGTCTGTCGGCCAGTCATAGGTAACATCTGGATTATTGGGACTTCTAGACTTAGCCTGAAGTAAATAATTAATAGCCTTTCTTTAAGTACACCGCTTCATGATAACAATACATCACATGCAGACGACAGAGAGAGAAAAAAGAAAGAAAAAAAACTAAATAAAAAAACAAGAATAAAAACGAGAGAGAAAGAAAGAATATTTGTTTTTTTTTGTTTTGTTTTTTTACAATATGTTCATTCTTTCGAGCAAGCATGCTCGTAAGTGTCTTACTGAATATTTTTATTGATTTAAATGCTTTCGTTATTATTATTATTATTATTATTATTATTATTATTATTATTATATAGGTAGCACACATCGCTTCGCTGATGACAAGATGATCAAATTTAAAATCTATATTTATTTAAAATGCTAAATTTATTAATATATACATATATATTCAGTTTAAATGCAGAAGTCATAAAAATGACTTCAAATGATTTTGCATATCAGGCTTATAATCTTTTCCTCTTAGACAGTGGTTGTTTTCAGATAACGAAATTCGCTCTCACGAGAAAGATT